TGGTAAGGAGAAAAAAAATCCAAATTCATATATATCCAAGATCTCTGCTCTAACAGACATTCTAGCAGATCTAATCTCTGAATGGAGACCAGCTAGCTGAGGCCCTTCCTTCTGTCCCCATTATTCCCCTCTGGCTAGCCCTAAATAAGCCACACACAAGTACAAAGTATGAAGAAAGTATTCCAGATCAAAAAAAACCAGTAACTTGGGAACATCCCGATGACTAAACTTCCACCCTGCTGAACTGCTGTACTTTAAAGAAGTTGCTGTTAAAACAGCAAATTCTCCCAGTAAATAAACGGGCCTGCCCAATCTTCTAGAACAGTGTGTGTGGTGCACTTTGAAAACAAGACAGTGCTACCTTGGCCTGTGCATGTATGTAGCATGAGTAGATGGTTTCATGTCCTCACAGTCACGTTCTTTGAACTGTTTGACTGCGGGAGCCCCAGTGGCCTTGTGGAAGGAGTACTAGAAACAGTCTAGAAGCTCACATGTGAATGGTGGCTCTGCTACTGACTGTGTGGTCCTGGGCATGGAGTGTTCATCCTGCCCTGGTTTCTTTTAAATGATCTCTAATATTTTTTTTTTTACAGTTTTGAAGTCAAAAGAATGATTCACCCACCACTAACAGAGACCTGGCAGATTCAGATTCCTTTATTCTACAAACTGAGTACCTGCTTGGAGCCAAACCCTGGTGAGGCAGGAGGAATCTGAGGGTGACCAAGACAAATGAAGAGCCTGTACCAAGACTGGTGTGGGGGAGTAGTGGTCCTTTTCACCTGTTTCCTCTGAGATGCATTCTTTTTTATTTATTTCATTTTTTAGATTTTTACCTATTCCCTTCTAAAAAAAAAATACAGCTGTGCTAGAGCCAGGTGTGATAGCATATGCCTATAATCCCAGTACTTGGAGATTAAGGGAGGAGGATAACCAATTTGAGGCCCAGATGAAAAAGAAGAGGAGGAGGAGGAAGTTGTTAGCTTCTTTCTAAGAGCAATCTTGCTAGAAATATTTCTAGGCCACAAGGCAAACCTAAAATAGAAGTTATACAAAATCTCTAAAATCTCTGGTGGTCCTGTTACTCTTCCTTCCTCCAACCCCAAAGCCATTCCTGACCTTGTCTCTAGACAGAGGGCCTAAAATAAGTGTTGGTAGAAAATGCCTGGTTGTGATAGAAGTGACCTGAGCTCAGAACAAATGGCTCACACACCATGGTACCAAGGCTCAGCAGGGAACAGCTGAAAGAGAACAATCAAACCACTCTAGAAGTGAGCTACTGTCCCCACAGCAACTCCCTGCAGCTCTTTTGGCACCATGGTCTTTTGGGCAAAGTAGACCAGGGGGGGACCAAAAAATGGGACCCAATTGCCCATCCTCCCTGCCCAAAAGAATGTAGCTCTACCCCATTGCCCTCAGGTGGCAAAGTCATCTCTGCAAGGTGTCTGGAACTATAGGTGATCAAGTTGAAGTTCTGCTCCAAGAGCAGCAGGTGCCTGGCACAAGGTTATTTGTGGGTCGGGACCAAGGCAGACAAAACCACCAAGCAAAACTCTAAAAGGGAACATCTGTTTTAAAACAAATGAGAAAGTGATGGCCATACCAGGTTTCAAAATCAAAACCAAGACAGGCCTATCAACTTTGATAAGAATACATTTTCTTGGTACTGGAGAGATGGCTCAGCAGTGAAGAACACTGGCTGTTCTCGTAGAGAACCAGGGTTCAATTCCCAGCACCCACATGGCAGATAACAACCATCCATAATTCCAGTTCCAGGGAAATCCAATGCCCTCTTTTGACCTCCAGGGCATTGCAGACACGGGTGCACTTAACACAGATGCAGGCAATACACTCATACACACACAAAAATAAAATATTTAAAAAGAGTACATTTTCCTGTATCTAAAAACAGTTAAGGTCCATTTTCCCCTTTTCCCCCACAAAGGCTCAAAGATTCTTTGAGGGTCCCTGGTAAAGCGATGCAATCCTTTTCCCCTTCCCACACGCCGGCCCTCTCCTTGGCAGAAATGAACTTTGACTGCTTTTACTTACACGTGTACAAAGGGAAGATTGACAGGGCAGCGTCAAAGCTGGCTGGGTGACCCCCAAGATCACAAAGTCCTCCGCACACCAGTCGGGGAGTTTTGTGAGTTTTCTCGGTACCCACGGGGACTAGGTTTGTCTTCAGGTGGACACCGGCATAGAGTTTCCATTGTGAACTGAGATAAAGGCGCTCAGGGTGCCTTCGAAGGTAGGGCACTCGTCCGGGGGTTCAAGGGTGCCCCTCACCGGCAGGCCTCTCGCTAAGACCAGTCAGGAACTCCATAATGCCGGACTAAGAACGTACCCGGGCTGCTTGGCCAGGCTGAAACCATCTCGCAGGGCATAGAGATGCATTAATGACCGTTTCGGATTAGTTAAAGCCCACACAAGCACCTCCCTGGCCTCTTAAATCTTCCCAAACTACAGTTCAGACTGGAGGGAAGCAGTTGCAGGGACCATAAAAGTCATCTTAACAGGCAAGTTGGAAAAAAAAATCAACAACATGATACGCACTAGTTAGCAAGTCCGCAGCTGGGGGCGGCGGGGGGGCGGGGGGTGGCACAGAGGCCGGATCTGCGAATCTGGGAAGGGAGACCACTGGATCCTGGGCGCCCACCCGGTATCCGGGGGACCCTGGATCTGACGCCGGCGATCACGCCCCGCAGCTCCGTCCAATTAGGAAAATGACCGCGAGGAGAAGAGAGAGGGTGGCGAGGAAGGGGGGGTAGAACCACCGGAGGCTCAAGACCCACCGCGGGGATCTGCCAACCCCTTCCCTGCACCCAGCGAGCTTCTTCAACAGGTCCTGGACATGGCCACCGTGCCTGGCCCGGGTCCCCGCGGCGCCCGGCTGGAGACCGAGCCGCTGCCCTCGGGGGGCTCCCCGACACCCCTGGCTGCGCCCAGGCCAACCGGCCGGCCGTGCCGCGCGATCACCCCACCCGCTCCCGAAGTAAAAAGTTTGTGGGCAGCCGCAGGGGCGGGGCGGCGAGGGGTGAAACTTTGAGTCCCGGGCCGGGTGCGGGGGGGAGCGTCTCCGAGCGAGCGCGACACCCACGTGCGGGCCCGAGACCGCCGTCGCTTGCCCGGCCTCCCGCGCCGCCGCTCTCCTTTCATTTCCTTTCTCTCTCTCTCTCTCTCTCTCTCTCTCTCTCTCTCTCTCT